AGATTGAAGGCAGGAGGAGAAGGGGACGACAGAGGATAAGATGATTGGATGGCATCAGTGACTTGATGGATATCAGTTTGAGCAAGCTCCAGGAGTTGGTGATGGACAGGAAAGCCTGGAGTGCTGCAGTCCATGGGGTCACAAAGATTCAAACACAACTGAGCAACTGAACTGAACTGATGTCTATGTGAGGAGTCATCTCTTGTGTTGTTGGATAAGGGTGTTTGCTACGACCACTGCATTCTTTTGGCAAAAGCCTTTGCCTGCTTCATTTTGTACTTCAAGGCCAAACTTGCCTGTTACTCCAGGTATCTCTTGACTTCCTAATTTTCCATTCCAGTCCCCTATGATGAAAAGGACATCTTTTTTTGGTGTTAGTTCTAGAACGTCTTGTAGGTCATCATAGAACTGTTCAACTTCAGCTTCTTCAGCATTAGTGGTTGGGGCATAGACTTGGATTACTGTGATATTGAATGGTTTACCTTAGAAACGAATAGAGATCATTCTTTCATTTTTGAGAGTGCACCCAAGTACTGCATTTTGGACTCTTTTGTTGACTATGAGGGCTACTCCATTTCCTCCAAGGGATTCTTGCCCACAGTAGTTGATATAACGATCATCTGAATTAAATTTGCCCAACTCGTCTAACTCAGTGAAACTATGAGCCATGCCATGTAGGGTCACCAAAACAGATGGGTCATGGTGGAGACTTCTGACAAAATGTGGTCCACTGGAAAAGGGAATGGCAAACCCCTTCAGTATTCTTGCCTTGAGATCCCCATGAACAGTATGAAAAGGCAAAAAGATATGACATTGAAAGATGAACTCCCCGGGTCGATAGGTGCCCAATATGCTTCTGGAAAAGAGTGGAGAAATAACTCCAGAAACAATGAAGAGACGAAGCCAAAGTGAAAACAATGCCCAGTTGTGGATGTGACTGGTAAAGGTAGTCAAGTCCAGTGCTGTAAAGAACAATATTGCACAGGAACCTGGAATGTTATGTCCATGAATCAAGATAAACTGGAAGTGGTCAAACAGGAGATGGAAAGAGTGAACATCGACAGTTTAGGAATCAGTGAACTAAAATGGACTGGAATGGGTGCGTTTAATTCAGATGACCATTCCTTCCAGAGGTCAAGCTATTACCACATGTTTCAAGGCCCCAACTATTAATCTGAGTATCAACATAAACCCTTTGGTGATGCCTCAGGCAGTCTTAACTGACGGGGCTTAAAAGTTATCTCCCAGGAGGCCAGCAGTAGCTGGACCTTCCTTTGGGAAGTACAAGTCTGGATAACCCAGACCTGCTAAGTTAATGCTTTACTGCTCAGAAGGTAGTCGTCTCTTTCAATAGTTTCACTGTGATCCACTTGTATTTAAATGAAACAAATAGTAAATTCAAAGAAACAAAATAGTATATAATGAAAAGCATTCCTCTCATCTCTACTCAGCTTCCCTTCAAAGAACAACCCATGTCCTCAAATTTTGTGTGTAGCCCTAGGTACACTTTAGTTGCATATGCATATATAAGCAAATATGTGTTGCTTGTTTAAAACCTCTACTACAAATAGCAGCTGAGAATTATAAGTGGAAAAATGACACATTAACCACTGTATTTTTTTTGAGGTCACTTTTTATTCTTCTCCTTTTTTTTTTATTGTGGAAAGTATACACATAAAATTTGTCATTTAAAACATTTTTAGGTGTACAGTTCAATGGTATTGATTACATTCACAATTTTCTTCCACCATAATCACTATTTCCCAAGCTTCTTCAATTGCTCCAAACAGAACCCAGTAAGCTATAACCCCCTTTGCCTCTCCACCCTGATTCAGCCCTTGATGACCTCTAATTTACTTCTATCTCTGTGAATTTGCCTATTCTAGATACTGCAAATAAGAGTAATCATGTGATTTTTTTTTGGTCCTTTTGTGTCTGACATTGCATTTAGCATATGGTTTTCAATGTACATCTGTGTTGTAGCATGAATCAGAGCTTTATTTCTTTTTATGCCCAAATAATATTCTACTGAATGTATATACCACATTTTATGTATCCATTCATGTATTGGTGGGTACTTGAATGGTTTCCACCTTTTTACTATTGTAAATAATGCTACAGTAAACACTGGCATAAATTATCTGTGTTCCTGTTTTCAATTCTTTGGAGTGTATACCTAGGGCTGGAATTCCTGGATAATGTGGTAATTCTATAATATATTTGACCTTTTGCAGAGCTACTAAATTGTTTTCAACAATGGCTGAACCATTATAAATTACCATCAGCAATGTAAAAGTGTTCTAGTTTCTCCACATTTTTGCTGAAATTTGTAATTTTCTATTTTTTAAATTGTAGTCATCCTGGTAGGTGTGAAGTGGTATCTAATTTTGATTTGCTTTTATACTTTGGTCACCTGATGTGAAGAACTGACTCATTGGAAAAGACCCTCATGCTGGGAAAGATTGAAGGCAGGAGGAAAAGGGGAAGACAGAGGGTAAGATGGTTGGATGGCATCACCAACTCGATGGACGTGAGTTTGAGCAAGCTCTAGGCGTTGGTGATGGACAGGGAAACCTGGTGTACTGCAGTTCATGGGGTTGCAAAGAGTTGGACATGACTGAGTGACTGAACTAACCGAACTGAATGAACAGTTGTATTTCTTTATATCGTATTGCTTTGGAAAAATGTCTATTCAAGCCTTTTGCTCATTTTATTTGTTCTTCAGTTCTTGTGATTTTGAGTCATAGGCGTTGTTAATATATTCCGATATCTATCCCTTATCAAATATCGATCTGAAAACATTTTCTTCCCGTACTGTAGCGTGTCTTCTACTTCCTTGATAATGTCCTTTGATGTACAAATTTAAAATGCTTGATATTCAATTTATCTATTTTTCTCTTGTTGCTTGCATTTTTGGTGTCTCATCTGAGGATTCGTTAACAAATTCAAGGTTACAAAGATTTACTCCTATGTTTTCTTTCTAAAATTTGTGTTATTTTCACCCTTATACTTAGGTCATGACCTATTTTGAATTAAATTTTTGTGTATGGGTTATCTAAGTTGTTGGTTACCACTGTTCAGAGTATTCACTTGTAATTTTGTTATTTCTGTAAAATACATGTCCCCACTTTTGATTTTAGTTATATGTGTCTTCTCCCCCCCTTTTTTTTGTCAGTATAGCTAAATGTGTGTTGATTTTGTCATTTTTTTTGAAAAACAATTTTTGATCTTGTTGACTTTCTATTTTTCTGTTCTTGATTTTATTTATCTCCATTCTAATTGCCAACATCTCCTGGATCATAGAAAAAGCAAAGGAATTCCTGAAAAATATCTACTTCTGCTTCATTGACCACAATACAACCTTTGACTGTGTGGATCACAACAAACTGTTGGAAATTCTTTGAGAGATGGGAATACCAGAACACCTTACCTGCCTCCTGAGAAGCCTGTATGCAGGTCAAGAAGCTACAGCTAAAACCAATCATGGAACAATTGACTGGCTCAAAATTAGGAAAGGAGTATGTTGATCAACAGAATAAATAACATAGAATTGGACTATAACCCAAAGTGTAAAATAAATATCTGTGAGTCCATACTAAGATAAATAAGTGGTTGAATGAATGAATAACTGAAGAAATAAATGAAGGAAAGAAGAAAAAGAATCTTACATATACATAGAAGAATGACAAAAAATTTATGTAGACACTTGGCCTTCCAGGAAGTATAGATTAATTCTTCCTCTCTGCCCCATACTCTTCTTTAGCATGGGCTCTGCTTGATGGCTTGCTCCCAAAGAGAAGAATAAGACAAGAGAGGGGTAACTTTATAGTAAGGATACTTGGGAGCTTCGGCAAGCCTCTTATGATTATCCATCAGAGGGCAGACAGAATGAAAACCACAATCACAGAAAACTAACCAAACTGATGACATGAATCACAGCTTTCTCTAACTGAATGAAACTGCGAGCCATGCTGTTTGGGGCCGCCCAAGATGGAAGGTCATGGTGGAGAGTTCTGACAAAACTTGGTCCCCTAGAGAAAGGAATGGCAAACTACTTCAGTATTCTTGCCTTGAGAACCCCGTGAACAGTATGAAAAAGGGAAAAAGATAAGACACTGAAAGATTAGCTCCCCAGGTCGGTAGGTGCCCAATATACTACTGGAGAAGAGTGGAGAAATAGCTCCAGAAAGAATGAAGAGATGGAGCCAAAGCAAAAACAATGCCCAGTTGTGTATGTGACTGGTGATGAAAGTAAAGTTTGTTGCTGTAAAGAATAATATTGCATAGGAACCTGGAATGTTAGGTCGATGAATCAAGGTAAATTGGAAGCGATCCAACACAAGGTGGCAAGAGTGAACGTCAGCATTTTAGGAATCAGTGAACTAAAATGGGCTGAAATGGGTGAATTTAACTCAGATGACCATTATATCTACTACTGTAAGCAAGAATCCCTTAGAAAAAGTGGAGTAACCCTCATAGTCAACAAAAGAGTCTGAAATGCAGTACTTGAGTGCAATCTCAAAAATGACAGAATGATCTCTGTTCATTGCCAAGGAAAATCATTCAATGTCACAATAATCCAAGTCTATGCCTCAAATACTAATGCCAAAGAAGCTGAATTTGAATGGTTCTATGAATACCTACAAGGCCTTTTAGAACTAACACCAAAGAGATGTCCTTTATCATCATAGGAGGCTGAAATGTAAAATTAGGAAGTCAAAAGATACCTGGAGTAACAGGCAAGTTTGGCCTTGAAGTACAAAATGAAGCAGGCAAAGGTTAGCAGAGTTTTGCCAAGAGAACGCACTGGTCATAGCAAACACCCTAATCCAACAACACAAGAGATGACTTCTCACATGGACAACAACAGATGGTTAATACCGAAATCAGATTGACTATATTATTTGTAGCCAAAGATGGAGAAGCTCTATACAGTCAGCAAAAACAAGACCGGGAGCTGACTGTGTCTCAGATCATGAGCTCCTTATTGCAAAATTCAGACTTAAATTGAAGAAAGTAGGGAACACTACTAGACCATTCAGGTATGATCTAAATCAAATCCCTTACAATTATACAGTGGAAGTGGCAGACAGATTTATCCCTAGGTATTTTATTCTTTTTATGTGGTTATGAACAGAATTGTTTACTTAATTTCTCTTTCTTATAGTTCATTATTAGCATACAGAAATACAGTGTATTTTTGTATATTAATTTTGTATCCTGAAGCTTTACTGAATTCAATGTTGTGTCCAAGTAGCTTTTTATGGCATCTTTAGGATTCTATTAGTATAGTATCATGTCATCTGTGAACAATGATGGTTTTACTTCTTCCTTTCCAATTTGGATGCCTTTTATTCATTTTTCTTATGTGATTGCTATGGCAAAAATTTCTAATACTATGTAGAACAAAAGTGGTAAGAATGAACATCCTTTTCTTATTCTTGGTCTTAGGGGAAATGCTTTCAGCTTTTCACCATTGAGTATGATATTAGCTAAGAGCTTATAATGCATGGTTTTTATTATGTTGAGGTATGTTCCCTTTAAACCCATTTTCTGGAGAGTTTATTGTAAACTGATGTTGAATTTTGTCAAATGCTTTTTTTCTGCATTTATTGAGATGATCAAATGATTTTTATTCTTCAACTTCTTGACATGGTATATCACATTGATTGATTTGTCAATGTTGAACCATCTTTACATCCCTGGAATGAATCCAACTTAATGATCATATATGATTTTTAAAGTATTGTTGAAGTTCAGTTTGCTAATATTTTGTTGAGAATTTTTGTGTCTGTGTTCATCAGGGATATAGGCTTGTAATTTTCTTTGTGTGTGGTTTCTTTGGTTTTAGTACCAGGTAATTTTGGCCTCATAAAATGAGCTTGGAAGTGTTTCTTCCACTTTTAAATAATTTGGGGAGAATAGGTATTAGCTCTTCTTTAAATGTTTAGTAGAGTTTACCTGTGAAGCCATCTGAACCTGGACTTTCATGTGTTGGGAGTTGTTTTTTAATTACCCATTCAATTCTGTTACTAATAAAAGGTCTATTCAGATTTTCTAATTCTTCATGATTTAGTCTTGGAAGATTGTATGTTTCTAGGAATCTATCTATGAATTTATCCATTTCTTCTAGCTTGCTGAAGACCTGGGGTTACCTGATTCTCCAGCTTATAAAGAGCAGCTGGATTATATGAAATCCCTCAACTTGTGTGTGTTGGCAACTACTCTAAAAGGTAAACCTTGTGCAGGAAGAATGGAGCACCCAAGAGCGCCAATCTGCACCCTCTGCTACGTTAGGAAGGGTCCATGTGCTCAAGAGGACGTAGGTCTGAGTTAACTCACACGCTGAAGCTGCATGGACATTGATTTTAATCACAGCATATGGAGGAACTTCCCAACAAGCACATCTAGACAACGGTGGAATAGTCATTCCCCCTCAGAAGTGCGGCTGCCCCCTGGGGACCTGCAGCAGCACGTATGACAGATGACCATCTCTCAGCTGTGCTGCAAGTGAGATTGGACCTCATGAGTCTCAGGCTCCTCCCATGTTGAGTCTATAAATCTACATACTCACAGCAGGCTGTGATATGACGAGTGTCTTTTCTTTGGATTACAAAATAAATTGTTGTTTATAAAGAGCCAGTAAGGGCAAAAGGCATAGGCAGCAGGAGGAAGTGGGCTTCAAGAAGCAGCTGTCACTGGACAGAGATCAATAAAGTGACTTGGTTATAAAATAAGTTTGAAACATCTTCCTCTCAAACTTGTCTTATCTGGAAAAAAAAAAAAAGGCCAAAATCTTTTACTATTCCCTTTTGGTTATCTGAATAAAACAAAGCAGAGATGTGAGCTCAAGCTTTCTTGTCCATCATTAAAAAGGAACCAGTCTGTGGTTTTAATATACTTCCCAAAACATAGTAAACTTTAAAATGAAAGTGTTTGTTGCACAGCCTGAATGGCCAATAACTCAATTGTGTGTATCTGTGTTACACACAGATGTGTGTCTAGCTTATAAAGAGCAGCTGGATTATATGAAATCTTTCAACTTTTATGTGTTGACACAGCTAGACACAGATGTGTCTGTGATTTGTCACTCATGCCTCTTTACCATAATTACTCCTCTAAGAACTGTCTCAATGAATATCTTCAGAGTAAATGAAACATGTCTTATTAATGTACTGGTTTATATGAAAGCATATAAAAAGCAAATGTATACAAGCAAAACTATCTCCATGGATTAATCTCTTGGTCACTGCTGTTTTCTTGTACTAGAATGTAAACCATTTCATTTAGTGTAGCATATCTAGCACCTAGAATAGCACATGGTAAGTGCTGAAAGAATTCTAACATTTGAATGGAATTCTTCTTTCAGCTTGTGAACTACCAATGTTGATGTTAGAGACTAGCAACAAGGGAAATTCCTCAAATCAAAAGAGTTGGCAGGGTGTGCAGCAGGGAAAAGGCACATAGAGGAGAAGAGGGACACTCTCCACGCCCACAGAAGGACACTGGTCTCCAGTCCTGCGGTCTTTGCTGGCTCCCAGGCTGGCCCAAGGCCGGATCTGGATTCATGACCCCTTTTGCCGAGGCCATAGTGTGGGTGGCAGAATATTTATTTTGGAGGTAGGATTTAAATGCATGCACAGTCTTTTCTAATCATTATTTAAAACTCTTATTGGACTCTCAATTTTTGGTGCAACATGAGCAAAGGAGTATTAGGCAAAGCCTAGGTTCAGTTTTGGCCCACAGTAACATTCTCGGTGACCTACTGAAATCATCAATCAAGAGAGACATCTCCCTGTCCCCACCTATCCCTGCCTCAACCCAGCTTTTCAGAAGTGCTGGAAAGAACCCTCCCCCTCTGCTCTTTTTCCTTTCCTAACTCTTCAACAATGATAACTGCTGGTGCTGCCCATTACAGATCAAGTTCAGCATGCATAGTTCTCTTCTTCTCCCTGCTCTCCTCCCCTTGGTGTGCTCTTGCTCTTTCGCCTCCCCCCGCCCCCACCCATCTCTTTCTCTCTCTCAACATTTTTTAAAACAGCCCGGCCACAGGATGCACCTGTCGTCCCCTCCTGGGGCAAGCCCAAGGAACCAGGTGCTGCCCCTGCGGGGGGAGGCCACAGCTGTTCTGCCTATGGGTATGTGGTAACTTGAAGAACATTTGGGCTTTAGGTGCAAGCCAATCTTTTTGATCTGGCCTTACCAGTAGCAAAGCCAACATGTTGACCCACATCTGGCTTCTGTGTCTGTTTGTCAATTGAGTGTGATATAGTCCCATTCTCAAACATCAGGAACAATAGTGGATTCAATTTTCCTCAAAAATGAAAGATATTTAAACACCGGTACTTTTAAGTAATAATTCTACAAGGCTTTAGCAAGGCTCAAATCCAGCATGCCAGCTTTCATTTCAGAGAAGCGGGGAGCTTTTCATTCATTTCACCTGGAAGAAAAGTGTCAGGGGCTCTGCAGGAATATGATGATTGGCCCATTTCATTCCCACCTGAGGCTTGAGCCAATTAAGAAATAAGATAGAGGAGCTAGGCTTGAGCCAATTAAGAAATAAGATAGAGGAGCTGATATATTAATAAAGAAACAGCTTGTGTTTGCAGGCAAGAGTGGACCCCCACTCCAATCCCAGGCAATGTCAGAGTCCTCCTCTTGGGGCAGGACAGTCAGTGAGGAGGGGCAGGGGTGGGGGCAGGGCATGGGGAGGGGGGTCAGGGGCCTGCAGTGAGCCCCTCATGCTGAGGAAGGAGGCAGCAGGGCCGCAGCACACATGGTCAGAGTCCCCTTCCAAGTTCCGTCACCTGAGGGGTGGAACCAGTTCAGGAGTGGGTAAGAATCATTTCCCCTCAACAATAAAAGTAGAACAAGAGCAGTGCAGACCCCACCAATTGCCTTCAGACAGCTGTCAAAGTGGAGTTGCTGTATACCTGGGTGGTTTGGAGCCAGGAGCAGAAATGAGATGGGCTTGGTTGAAGCTCATCCTAAGTGTGGAGAGGAGCTCTCTACACGCCTCACTAGCTGGCTTGCTAGTTTGTTCTGCCTTTTAAAATGAGATACAAATTACATACTATGTAATGACATAAATTACATACTATGTGCATAAGTCAAGTATGTAATACGGTTGCCCTTTTACAAGTCTACACTCTTACAACAGTCTAAGATATAGAACATTTTCTGGGCTGCTTTCAAAAGATGTGGCCCACACCTTTTGTTTCCATTTCCATAAAATTTGCTTTCCATGCTTACCTTACGAATATAGTCTTTGTTTTGTATCTACTAATTATAGCAATAGTTTCAGTTTTTAAGCATTGAAAAATTAATTTTTAAGGCAACAAATTCAGCTGACCAATAGATGATATTCCTTCAGGGGAGTGATTCTCTGTCCTGGGCACTTGCTCCCTCCCTCCTAGAAAGAAATTAGAAGTTTTCTCCCCTGTGGTGGCAGCATCAGAGTCAGAATTATCTCACTAATGGGAGATTTCTCACACATCAGTCAACTAATTTCAGTCGGAGCAAAATAAAATAAAATTTCAAAAGGAAACCGCTTCTCTATGACATGTGTTTTTTGCAAACACTTTCAGTATTCTAGAGGAAAACACGTCGACTTTGTAAATGGGTATATTGTCCTTCAAAAACACAGGTAGCATTCTCATGCTGAGACATTTCTCATGAGCTTCCTTCCCCAATGAATTTTAGATCCAAGTTACTTTGAAATTATTAGTTTAAGGTGATTAGCTTTAAATTTTTAAAAATAAAATGCCAAATATTCCTTCCATTTAAAAGGCCCCATGGGTACAAAATAGATACATTCTGGGGAAAGGGTACCCTGTCACAAGCTGTATATCTATATATTTTTGTATCTATATCTTTATCTACATTTAATATATACACCCATATAAATATGTTATGCAAGCATACATCTATATACACATCTATATCTATCTATAAAAATAAATATAATGTAACATACAGTATTGCAGCTCTCCTACCACAGTGTGTTCGTATGCTGACCAGCTGGCTGGCTGTATAAATGCTGACCCATGACCCTCTTTGAGCACCTGCACAGGGGTTCACAGGGCTCAGGTCTGGCTTTAACAAAGCATTTGCTAGACAGGCCAGGGAGAATGAGAGTACTCAAGTATGAGTATGAATGCCAAGCCACTTGAGTAGTGTCTGACTACATCGTAATAGCACCAATATAGATAATACACAGCAAGTAACTTGATGCAAACATGATGCTTAGCTCTGAGCATGTCCAGGTCAGGGCTAGACTTCTGTTGACTGTGTCAGCAACAACCGAATTGCTAACATAACAGCCTTTGTTTATGCATTTACCCTTGGTTCTCCTCTTCACTCTGAGTAGTAGGACAGCTGTTAAGTACTGTGCACACATAACACCAGTGGCTGCTAAAGACTAATTGTCTAGAAAACCAAGCTGGGTCACTGCCACTAGCTGGCAGTCAGTAGTTGAGTCTCTTCTATAAAATTAGGGCAAAGAATGAGACATCAGGTTGGGCTCATTTCAGCTCTAAAGTGCCCCAGGTCTCCATTTGCGGCTTCCTTTGGGCTTTAAGGTCATAACCACTAGAAGACAAGCTGCAAGGCTTCCCTGTCTACCTTGGCTGTTCTTTTTTCAGTATCTGCATTTTTAAAGGAATGTAACGAGCTTTGAGAAAGACCTCCAAATCACTGAAATCTCAGAAATGATGTCATTCTATTCCCACTTCCTTTTTGTTTGGTGCCTTTAAGACAATACATGCTTGTCCCAAGGGTCGTGATCAGCCTTTCTTTCCATTACATGGATTCATACAATATTCCACGTGTGCAGTGTCCAGTTTCACCGCCTTTTAGGAACTTCTATTTCAGAATCACATGGCTTGCTCTCTTAGGCTGACATTCTTTTAATTTCATTTTAAAGCCAAAAAAATGAGACTCTTTTGGTAAGTCTTTCCTTAAAATTTTACTTTTAGTTGACAGCATTCATTTGTGCATTCATTCAAAAAGCATGTAGTGAGTACCCATTCTGGGCTGGAGCCCCATGGAGACGTGCGTGACAGCACTGATCATGGGCCTATCTCAGAGCTGATGCCAGAAGGCCTTTCCCAGGTGTGTCTCCACATCCTACCCTTGTGGAGGAAGAACTCAAGGCATGCCTGGGTGATATAACGTCCGTAAGCCCCACTCCAGTTTGGCCACAGTAGATTGGATGGAAATGGGCCACCACAGTTCTTTCCTAGGAATTCAGAATTGAGACCTAGAGGAAATAGGCTTGTCTCCTTCCATATAAAACAGGGTGATTGTCAAAGCTATTTTCTGTCAAGTGGCAGCTACTGGAAAAATGAAGAAAGAAGCTGGCTGACAGGAAAATTGGAGATAAAGATGGACAGAGGTGGTCTCCTGGGTGCCCCCCACAACCAAGCTGATGTCTCTGGTCTTTTTCTGGCTCCAAAATTGTATTTCTATGAATGATTCTAATGATTTCATGAAGCAGTCCATACCCCGTGTTCTTAACATAAGCATCCTCTTTTGATTAAGGTAGTGCCAGTGTGCTTCTATTGCTCACATTCAGTAGAGTCTTAACATGACGTCCTGCCCATGAGCAGGTCTTTGCTCAGTAACGCAGATTGGAAACTACGTCTTACAATACTTCCCAGTGCGGCCAGACTCTGAACTCCTGAGTCAGGAGCCACAGCGCTTTATTCTTCCCTGTGTTCCTGGTACATTGTTGAAACTCAAGGGGCTGAATGTTGACTCTGCAAGGAAGGGCTTCAAGATTCTCGGCAGCTTACTTTACCATTCCTTCTCCAGGTTCCTTCTCTGAAAGGGCCCTTAGAAATCAT